ACTAACTCTATGACTTTGACAGTCCTCAAAATGATGTAATATTTAAAGTCTGCACAAAATGCCAGAAAAATGCTAGTACTAAGCAGCAAAGTACTGAAATAAAAGAACTGTCAAAAATTAAGCTGTATGAGTAATTCTCCCTGGTGCAGCCACATTAGAGCAGAATGTATTATATCATTGCTTAAAATATTTAGCACAGACAAGTAATCTGTTTGGCAGAGTTCTCACTCATGTAGTTTTTACCTTACAGGGTGTAATTCAAAGCACTCTTTACAAAGTAAGTACCCTGGCTTCCCAGCTGACTGTTACTACAGACTTTCTGAACACTCAGAGTAATGTCATAATATTTATAATTGCCCCGCTCACATTTGGAACCTAATCATATTTTAAGATGCTACAGCCAACATCCATTACCCCCCAAGTCAGCTGCTCAACTTCCTTCTGCTTATTTAGTTTAAATAGAAAAACATTAAAATATAAATTTGCATTTTTACAGATAATTCAAGGCAGCTCTCAGTCCCATTTCATAAGAGTCTGAGAACTGAGTCGACTTGGTTTAGTTCCAGAGAAAAACCAATGCCCTGTAACCCATTTTATTTGATTTTTCCCTCTAAAGACCAGTAAGAGGAGAAGAAACTAGGCAACTGGTCCTTCCCTATGCAGAACAGCAAACACAATCTTGCTTCTGAAGCTGATTGATCCACTAGTGCTTTGAAAAGTGCATGCAAATCTGTTAAGAGAAGCTCATGGATGAGAACTCCTAGCACCACACCTATGAAACTAAGTCTCCAAGGTGTATCTGGTCTTTGTTTATCCAACTTCTTGCAAATGCAAGTAATTCATAATATGAAATGCTACATGACATCCAGGTGGTTTTCTGCTTGAACAGAACTGTCTCTGAACTTTGAACACTTCTCACAAACCTGACCTAAAAACTGAAATCAGTATCTCATCACATGGATTACTATCTCTTATGAAGCTGATATGTTCTGGTTCCTGAAGGTGAGTCTTTTAAATTCTGTAAAGGAGAAGCATAACAGATGCCTCAGTCTGGTACTTCATTGCTACCTCTGGAAGATGGAATGAAACTTGTATGGGGAAGTTTTATTAAACTACCCATAGCCCATCTCTGTCTTTCACACAGAAGAAAGGCAGCACCCTGCTTACAAGATGGGGAGTCCAGAAACACACAACAATTTCAGTTTTGACAACACAGGCTCCAGAAAAAGCAGCAAGCTAACAAAGACTTGGGGGGTATACACGTTAGGAATCGTCTCGTCACCTTTTTGGGAACTCAGGCATAAGGTTTATATAGAATTAAAACAAAAAAAAAATACCCTGAGCCCATTGGTTTTGCACATTTTTCCAAGCTTCAGGCCTGGGTAAGGAAACATACCCTTTTGATATCAGTGATGGCACTCACTGAGCTGGGATACTTGAAGTATTCAGCAAGCATGACGATGAGGTGGTCGGTAATGCTGGCGATCCTCTGGAGCTCCACGTCTGTTTCTATCAGGTAGGCCAGTGTCTCTGCTCCCTCCACCCTCTCCTCCAGCAGTCTTTCCTTACTGCACATTCGAACCAAACATGGCAGAGTCTGAAAAGTTTAAAAATAAAGGGAAATAAAAACCCCACCGCTGTTCAGTGCAGCTGCGTTCATCAAGAAGCTCACCAAAAAAATCCAACTACCCTAAAGCAATTCTTAACAATACTCTTTGGATCAGTACCTTCTGATAAAAAGACTTGAGTGGTTTAAAAGTAGTAAAGTGGGTTTTAAAGATACACAGAGAAATTGTTCAGGCATTACTAAGTACACAGCAGGCCACTTTCAACCAGCTTCTCACGCAGCCAGAGCTCGTCCACGTGAATGCAAAGTTCCTATTTGCACAGGTTTATTCTTACCACACACAAGCACCAAAAGTCCCCAAGGTGCCCTCATGAAGTACTTGACCCCTCCTGCCCTTCTGCAATCTAGGATTGACTAAGGACAATACAGGAAAAAATAATCTCAGGGTTTCCTTGACCTACATGGGCTGCTAGGAGTAGCAGGGAAGGGAGGACTACTCCTAAGCAGTATATTTGGTTAACCAGAAGTGAAGTCCACTTGGAATCCAGGTCCACTCTGCCTTCTCCTGATATACCCTCCTGCCTTGGTTACACTGGCAACATTTCTGTCATTTCTCTACTTTAAATGTTAAAAATAATCAAATCTTTGTTTACCTCAAGCTCAGGGAAAAGCACTTAACTCTGGAAAGAGGAATTCTCCAGTGGTTGGGACTGTTCACTCAAGTCTCAAACAGAAATATGAAAATGGATGAGGAATAGTATTTTTTGCTTGTGTAACCATTGGCTCAGAGTCACACTAGTAGGAAATGTTTCTCAGTTATGTTTTGGGTGCTTGAAATAATGTTTATCCATTGATTGTTCATATGTTTGACTGGATAAATCTCTTGTCTCTGTTCCACAGGTGAGGAAGCAGAGTTACAGGACATGCCTCCATTTATTAAAAAGGTAAATGTAACCACAAGGATTGCCACTTCAGTTGGAAATCTTGCACCTAATCTAGCAAGCCAAAGCACCTCCTTTTTGCATAGGTTACTGTAAGTAACATCAGATAAGACTTTTATCCTGAACAGTTGAAAACTGGTTCTAATAGCACAGACACACCTAAAGGATCTACTGTTCCCTTAGGAGGTTTGCCAGAACTCTTTAAAAAAAGAAGTCAGCTGCCAAGGATTGGTAAACTTAAGCAGGCCTCAGATACCACCTCATTCCAAAAATGAGATTTCTAGGACCTCTGCAAGTTTGTTCAAAGTTTGCTTTAAAAGCCTTCAGGCATTTAATAATAACCATACTTTTAAATCTGTAGAATTCAGAACTCCACCATAATGATTAAGTGTCATCAGTTTCAATTACCAAGCTGGCATAAGGTACATTAAAAACTGACATTAACATAAATAAAATGAACATAAGCTCTCAAAAAAAACTACATTCAGGTTGAGTAAGAAAGAAAAGAAGTGGAATCACAAAGATAATGTATTTCCCAATTCTTTCCAAGGTCAGATGGCCTGGAATGAGCTATTTCTTGGAATTCAATGGCTAGACATTGTTAAGTCCCTGGCTGCAAGCACCCAAGAAACACAAATCTCCTACTTTTCAACTTTTAGCAATACCATATGTTTAAAACTAAACCAAAAATCAAGAATTCTGAAGACATTTTAACTGTTCCATCAGACCTACAGGTCAGTACAACAGAAGTCAGAGGAGCAGGGGACTGTACTAGTGCTGTAAGGTGAAGAGCCAAAAAAGCACACCTGATATTTTCTGATAAAAGCTGATAAAAGCTTGAAAATGGACTGTAAAGATGGAAAACTTAATCCACATGGTATTTCTGGGATGTGTCAGTTTATCTGGACAAATCATCACTTTATTAGGATTCCGGAGAAATAATTTCTCTTCCAGTTAAATCCAATATTTATCAGCCTCTTCCCTACCCCAAATAATTTTACTTTTTCATGTGTTACAGGCCAATCCACTATTCAAACCAGGCAATGAAAATAAATCCAAGCAATTTTGGAAACACACGTCCCTGACTGTCCTCCAAATTAAGGAAGTTTGGAAGCAAAGGGTCAAAGTTCTTTTCAATACTGTCTGGAGACTAAATGGGGCATTCTTTTGTTTTACTTCAGAGGTCAAACAATTTATAACTGCATTTACCACAAGCTGAGGCTGTGTAAGCTGAAAGCTGTGAGCTCCTGGAATGACCTTGAAGACATTCCTGGAGTTGTCTGCACAAGCAGGCCAGGTTCTGTGCCTTCCTTCTCTCCCCACTCTTTCACCTAGGCTCAAGTAGTACAAGAAATTCTAGTCCACAGCTCAAAAAGGTTTATTTGTGCTGAAGCAGCTTCCATGAGAAAGTGCTCCTATTGCTCTTGGCTGCTAAGCAAATCAGTCTGTAATGGTTTGAGAGGACTCCAGTTCTCCATCCAGCCCACGTGGCACAGCACGTGGAGCTCCACACGGCCTGTTAGCAATAACCTGCCTTTGCCCACAGTGCTAGAGAGAGTCTCCTGTTCCTTCTCCCCAGAGGAGAACAGTGCTGGAACCTGCATGTCCTGACCAGGACATAGCTTGGTGTTCAGAAGACAAGGAGGGATTGCTGAATGGAAGAGATTTTCAAAAGCAGAATGAGGTTTGCAGGAGTGCAATAAGTTGGGAGTATGGACTTTCTGACTGCAGTGTCTACATACAGCCTACTCCTGCCCAGCATTACCAAGGAGCAGGACTACAGGGACAGCTCTTGATACTCTGGTGATAATTTTCCAGTCTCAAATGTAAGCTTGCAGGAGCCATCAGGGGTTTGCACAAGAGCACAGCCAGAAGATACTGCTCAGCAGCTCCCTGGTTACACATACACTTCACAGTTGTCTGTTCACAAGAGGATCTGAACACCACAGAGGGGCCTTCACAGCCAAAGAACTCCTGTAAAAAGTTACTGGGTCTCAGATCTCACACCACCAAATCCTGACAATGACTGCTTTGCTGATCAGACCCCTCACTTGCTAGACTCATTCCAAAAGCACATGTGATCTTCTCAATCTCAGTACAGGGCTACACATGGAGGATAAAAAAAAAAATATCTACTTTTTCAGACATTTAAACTGCATTTCCTTAAGTCTGAACTATTTGTTATTCTTTGGAATGAAGTATGCTAAAAACATCTTAAAACCTTTGGAGTCTGTCAGACTGCTACAGTAATTATGAAAGAAAGCAAATGTTTTCTTATTGCAGTACTACACTAATATTTCAATATCTTATGGAGAAACAGTGTTAGTATCACCTGATCTCTGACTGACAGGCTTGCTCATCAACACCTCTTTTTCCCCTTTTGACTAGCTATAGAAGAGTGACTATTAAAAAGAGATTACATTCCTATGGTGTTTGATCAAGTTTTGCTCACTGAATTTCCTTATAAAGTCACACACAGGATAAAAATCAAATCCAGCATTTCAGCATGACAAGGTATTTTTGGGAACAGATTTCCCTAGCCAAAGTATGAAGCAGATAAATATACAAAAACATTGTGAACCCTGCTCCTGACAGACTCCATGTAGAGACTGTGCAAGTGTGCTGAGTACAGCCTTGTGAAAAGAGCTACTGAAAGACAAACCAGTGCCCTGATCATACACAGAGACTAAGGTGGCAGTGATGTCTCCATGTTACTTACAAATGGCTACTGAAAGGATGCATGTGTGTCAAACTCTGGGATATTTATTCCTGGATATGGACATTTGAGTCTGTTTCTGTGTTTAAGGCTTCTTAAAAATGTCACTATAAATGAAGACAGGAAGAGAAACTAGGGAACTAATTGAGAAGAAATAAAACATGAGAACTTGTTGCTTTGAAATCTTCAGTGTAACAGGTTTTGTGCTGCTTTTTCTAGGAAAGAAATAAAAACAAGATAGCCTTAAGAAAAACATTTAAAATTGAAAACTTTTGGCCTGCTCACCTTAAGAACGATGCAGGAATCATCTGTCCTTATTGCTCCAGCTCTGCACATGGAAGTAAGGCTGTAACAACAGAACAAAACATGTTCACCTATCAGTGGTTTGTAGGAAATTAAGACATGGCAGAACAACCAACTGTACTAGTAAAATTTAAGTACATTTGTGCTTATTGGTCTTGGGCACACTTTGAAGCAGATTTTTAATACAGAACATCTTGCTGGAGCACCAGTCAATACATACACCACACACTGGTCAAGAAAGGTCTAACCATCAAACTCAATTGATCTAAAAATCCCTTTCACTAACAAAAAAACCCCAAAGCCTCAAAATTAACAACTTATGCTAAGATAAAGGAGCAATATACACAAACCTGTCCTTTGCTAGCACAGAGCATAAGCCAGCACTGAAAACAATCAGGAGAATCAATAGAGTGTTGGTAGTCAGACAGCTTAGAAGCCATTCAAGCTCTGCATTAGCCCAGGAAATGTGGTATTGTTGTAATGCTTGTTCACAGGCACAGCAACACTCTGCTGGAACAAGCACATCCTTCCTCATGGTGAACCCAACTGAGACTCTGACACTGAACCAAACCAGCTTTTGATCTTTACCAGACAACAAGTCAGTGGACATGACAAGTCCAAGGTCTCAAACCACAATGTTGACACAACATCAGAAAAATGCATCGTTTGCTTTGCTAATTTCCCTGCACACGTGCTCCAAGCTACCAGAAACGTGAAGCAGCTCACCCACCAATAAAAGTGTCTCACACGACTTGATTTATAGCTTTCATCTCCTCTGCTACAAGGAAGGGGGATGCAGCTGGAGGATAACTCCTCTGCATTGAGGGCAGGAACAGTCAAGTATCTTTTGTTCCAGCTTTTGAACTAAGCCATTGTAACTGGCTTTTATTATTCCACAGCTCAGGATGAAAAAATAACTGATTTTGGTACAGTGACTTAAACCACACACATTTCAACTTAAAACTGGGCAGGTCAAAAGTCTGTGTAGGGTGAATTACAACTGATAGCTAAGGAGCAGTGAGATGCTAACATACTGAAACCATACTGTGGTTCACTGCATTCCTGAACCTTTCCCACTGCCTAGAGACAATCTCTTAGAAGGTATCACTGATCATGTTCCAAACATCTAACAGGGACAGACATAACTAAAAATTTACAATCAGAAGTCTTTTTATGTATTATTTCTCAGCAGATAAAAGACTTGACTGTTAGCATAGAGATATTTCATAAACTTTTACTCTCCAAGCCTTGCAGCTTGACAGCAGAAAATACTCAGAGTATTCCCTCTTCTTTTCATGAGGAGGAAAACAACAGCCTTGCAGTTGCCATTTGGTCCAGCTAGACCCTATTTGCCAGACAAAGTAGCTCTACCTCAAACATGAAATAAGTGAAAGTATTTTTACTTCAGATAAAACAGGCATGGCTCAGCTGGCAGCAAATCCAGCAATTTTAGTAGCAAAGGTTGCTGCTCTACTTGTAGCTGCAAATCACTCTCCCAGGAGGCTTACTACCCTTCCCTCTGTGCCAACTCTGCTGCTCAAGTGAAGGAACTTTACTCCACTTCAGTCAAGAACTATTAACTTGGGTCTTCCAGGTCTACTTCAACTGCTGAAAAACAAAGGAGGCTTCTCAAGGTAGCCTTGTATGCCAGTCTGGATTCAGACAAATTCAACAGAAGGCTTCACAAATGCATAAAAAAACCCTTCTAGATATGCATTCTAATGACACTACTAATAAACCAGAGAGTAATTGCATATTAATTGGTCAAAGCTGGCAAGGCAGAAGTGAAGCCTAATTTAGAAGCAGAAAAAAAAAGAGAACCTGTGACAATTTCACTTACTACCTCCATTAGATGAAAAGAAAAGAGACAGTTTGAGTCAGAGGGAATCTAGTAGGGAATGGATTTATAGAAGAAAAGCCAGCAGGACCTTGCAAGCCCCCAGGACTGTTGTGAAACTGAGGCCCTGAGTGCCCTACTAAGAAGGATGACTGCCTGTGGATGAATTAGAAACCCAGTATGAAACTCAAGATGCTGGTTTGCCTTCCATTTTCTTGCAATTTCCTTTTTTGCTTTTCACCATGTAATTTTTGTCTATGCTTTCAAAGATCCACTTGAGCCTTAGCACTGTAAAGCAACAGCAAAGGATGGGATTCTCTACCCAGCTCCTACCTATCTGAAGCAAATCAGTAAAGAACACCAAAAGACCTGGGAACATTCACCCCAGAACAAGGAGATGGTCCACAGCCAGAACAATTCTTTGAACTCCAACCTCCCTTTCACAACTTATCAACTGCCTGTATCTTGAGATCAGTAAAAAAGGAAATATTAATACTTAATTCTCTCTATTCTTTGAAACAATTCTTTGCCAAGAAACACATAAAAAACCAACTGAGACTCCTACAATGCAGATCATTTAACTTGCCTTTTTCACTGAGAGCCTCCTACCAAAACCAGTAAAACCAGACTGCACAGACCAGTTGGGGTTAAAAGGGAGCATGGAAGGTCCCCAGATGGACCTCCCACGTGGAGTGGGATTACCTGAGACAACTCCCACACACACATACACATCTTTGTGATTGCATTCATGAATGGGTTAAGTCATCATAAACTGCCCATAGTAAAAAAGACAATTTACCTACATGGCCTGTTTACCAGACAATTTACCACATCCTGCCTATCCCACTTGTTCCTCACCCAGAAATCTCAAGACCTTGCACTGAGACAAGTGCCAGTGGAATTGTGTGGTGAACTGGATCAGAGAACTAACAGATCCAAGCCAAAATTAAGAGGTCAAAATCTATAAGAATAATCAAACAATACACTGGTGACCAAACTCTTGAATTCAGTTTCATTTTAATAGCTTATAGTAATGGATAATTTTCTCTCTTTAACCTCCCAAAATAAATAATGCCTTATTATCCATACAGCAAAAGGAAAGGGGAGGCAATTCCCAGCTTAGACAGTGAGCATAACCCCAGTGTTGCTGTTGTGGAAATTGGTCACATTTTCTCACAGGGTAGAAAGTCATTATGAGAATATGAAGACAGAAATGTGCCCACACCAGAAGGGAAAGTTTTATTTGAACTACAAAATTAATAATGTTTATTCTGTTGTATGAGCATATGAAGCTTAAAGCATAACCTATGTTAATAAAAGACAGTTGGGAAGAGGGACTAGCTCTGCTCTCTCATCATCCTAGTGCACACAGCTCTCAACATGCCACCTCTGAAAAGTGGTGCCACAAGGACACCAACTTGTACTACATGATGCTATTCCTGTATTCTACTTGGCACGAGTGACCACAGCCTATTCAAAGTAAAAATCCTCATAAAATCCAAGCTACTTGTGAAAACTGCAGTTCAGCTGATGCAAATTCATGTCTGAATATGTGTTTCTGACAGAACTGCTGCTCAGCAACATTTTTTACTGTTTATGTGCAGCAAAGAGCAAAAGTTGTGCTGTAAGGATTATTAGGTGAGGACCAATGCTTCAGGGATTTAGGTAATGCAAAGATCTAATAATCCATGATTATTCCTAAGATTTTAGATCACATATTACTTTGCAACAAGCAAAAAGGGAACTGTTAAAAAGAAAGAATTAAATGGCATACTATTTAGCTCCAATGACTGATGAAAATTACCATTTGGCTGATGTGAGCTGCATTTCAATAGGCTTGTCCCTTTGTAACATCTTCACAAAAATCTGTGGTAATGATTCTCCATCCACTGACACTGCAAGCAACAAGAGAGCTCCATGTCATTCCAGTTCAGCCAGTCAATAAAACCAGCACCAAAAAAGCAGCAGCAGCACTATACATACCATTTACAAGAGTCATTGATACCTGTGGGTTTTCAAAGGCAAGGACTGAGAAACATTTCAATGCTTGCATTCGAACCTGTGTAAAAACATAATACATATGAAGTATAAATGGAAATCTTAAAAGCAAAATTGGTCTATACTGAGGTATAGGCTTCTAGAAAATAATTCTGTAAAATCAGCCAGAAATGCAGATGATGAATAAAAGGCAGATGGAAACATCGACCTCACAGCTTGACTCTCATCATCTCCCTTGTGGGACTTATCTTTCTATAGGATGTGTTGTGAACTATTTGTGAAAAAAAACAAGGAAAATCATGGGAACTAGACAGTCATAAATACTGATCCTATTTGTGATGCCTCACAAACGTGCAAAAAAAACCAACAAAAAAATGGAAGTATCATACCAATAGTAGTACTGCTTTCCAGGACTCATAAGTATGTAAAAAAACCAGAAATACACACTGTTGATGTTTAGATTTCAGAAGCCTTTCAAAGTGAATTTAATAGAATGTCCAAAGAGAAACATCCACTGTTGATTCTACACTAATCTCAAAGCAAGTGTACCTGTCCAGGTCCCTCTGGAGAACATCATTAAATGAAATGCTAGATGCATCTTGTTGGTGAAAAAGCAACTTGAAAACTTTACCTTGCTTTGGTTTATTTTAAAGCAGCTCTTTGAAATAACTAAGGAAGGTTCAAAGCCATTTAGAAAAGGTTTGAAGCCAAGCATAGCTTGGAAAATTCACCTCACAATTATGAGGCTGGGTAAAAATGTTCAGCTAATGGGAGAAAGAGCAAATGTGGCCTGGTCACAGTGAAAAGTAGTTAGCACAGAAAGATAAAACCCAGAAGTTTATCAGTCTCACCAATATATTATTGAAGACCACATCACATACATCCTACTGGATTTATTTGAGCAGGGGAGGGAGAGGAACCATCACCAAACCCCCCCCAAAAAAAACCCAAACCAAACAAAAAGAACCACACAAGAGATTAACAAGTCCCTGGATCAGAGCACCAAATTTCCCTTCACTTGAAATTCTCATTTAAAGACTGATCTTCCTGC